GGGAGGGAATGGGGGGGTGGGAAAGGGGGCGTCAGGAAAGGGGGGGAGGGAATGGGGGGGAATGGGGGGGTCAGGAAAGGGGGGAGGGAATGGGGGGGAATGGGGGGCAGGAAAGGGGGGAGGGAATGGGGGGAGGGAATGGGGGGGTCAGGAAAGGGGGGGTTGGAATGGGGGGGGAATGGGGGGGCAGGAAAGGGGGGATAGGGAATGGGGGAGTGGAAATGGGGGGGCAGGAAGGGGGGGCAGTGGGGGGTCAGGAATGGGGGGGCAGAAAAGGGGGGGGTGGAAATGGGGGGGGAATGGGGGGGTCAGGAAGGGGGGGATAGGGAATGGGGGGTGAGGAAGGGGGGGGCAGGAAAGTGGGGGATAGGGAATGGGGGGGGGGGGGCTCTCACCATCCTCATCCTCCTCGGGGGGGGTCGGGGGCCGGGGCCGCTTCTCCTCCGCCCCCTCCCCCAGCTCCGATGGCTCCTTCCGCTTCACCTGGGAATGGGGGGGGAGGGGAAATTTGGGGGGGGGCAGACCCCATAGACCCCCCCCACAGCACCCCATAGCCCCCCCATAGCACCCATAGCCACCCCATAGCCCCACCACTGCACCCCATATCCACCCTATAGCACCCATATCCAAACCATAGCACCCATAGCCACCGCATACCCCCCCATATCCACCCCATAGCCCCACCATTGCACCCCATAACCCCCCATATCCACCCCATAGCACCCATAGCCACCCCATAGCACCCATAGCCACCCCATAGCCCCACCACAGCACCCCATATCCACCCTATAGCCCCCCAATATCCACCCCATAGCCCCCCCATATCCACCCCATAGCACCCATAGCCACCCCATAGCCACCCCATAGTCCCACCACTGCACCCCATATCCACCCTATAGCCCCCCCATATCCACCCCATAGCACCCATATCCACCCCATAACCCCCCCATATCCTCCCCATAGCCCCCCCATTGCACCCCATAACCCCCCCATACCACCCATATCCATCCCATAGCCCGCCCATTGCACCCCATAACCCCCCCACATACCCACCCCATAGCACCTATATCCACCCCATAAGCCCCCCATTGCACCCCATAGCCCCACCATTGCAGCCCATAACCCCCCCACTGCACCCCATAACCCCCCCATATCCACCCCATAGCAACTATATCCACCCCATAACCCCACCATTGCACCCCATAACCCCCCCCATATCCACCCCATAACAACCCCATATCCACCCCATAACCCCCCCATATCCACCCCATAATACCACCCATATCCACCCCATAACCCCCCCATATCCTCCCCATAGCCCCCCATTGCACCCCATAACCCCCCCATACCACCCATATCCATCCCATAGCCCCACCATTGCACCCCATAACCCCCCCATTGCACCCCATAACCCCCCCATATCCACCCCATAGCAACTATATCCACCCCATAACCCCCCCATTGCATCCCATAACCCCCCCATATCCACCCCATAGCACCTATATCCACCCCATAACCCCACCATTGCACCCCATAACCCCCCCAGATCCATCCCATAACCCCCCCATAGCACCCATATCCACCCCATAGCCCCACCATTGCACCCCAAAGCCCCACCATTGCACCCCATAACCCCCCCATATCCACCCCATAGCACCTATATCCACCCCATAACCCCACCATTGCACCCCATAACCCCCCCATATCCACCCCATAGCACCTATATCCACCCCATAGCCCCACCATTGCACCCCATAGCCACACCATTGCACCCCATAACCCCACCATTGCACCCCATAACCCCCCCATTGCACCCCATAAACCCCCCATATCCACCCCATAGCCCCCCCATTGCACCCCATAACCCCCCCCCCGGGTACCTTGAAGGAGGGCAGCCGCAGTGCCCCCCGGAGGCCGGCGCCGCCCCCACGGGCCCAGTCCACGAGGGAGAGCAGGGCCGGGGGCTCCTTGGGGCGCAGGCGCTCCCGCTCCTCGTCCCGCTGCCGGGCGGCGGCCTGGAAGGGCTGGGAACGGGAACGGGAATCAATGGGAGGCAATGGGAATGAAGGGGAATGAATGGGAGGCAATGGGAGGCAATGAGAGTCAATGGGAGGCAATGGGAATGAATGGGAGGCAATGGGAGGCAATGGGAATGAATGGGAGGCAATGGGAGTCAATGGGAGGCAATGGGAATGAATGGGAGGCAATGGGAATGAACGGGAGGCAATGGGAGGCAATGGGAATGAATGGGAGGCAATGGGAATGAACGGGAGGCAATGGGAGGCAATGGGAATGAATGGGAGTCAATGGGCATGAATGGGTGTCAATGGGACCGGGAATGGGAATGAATGGGAGTCAATGGGAATGAATGGGAGGCAATGGGAATGGGAATGGGAATGAATGGGAGGCAATGGGAATGAATGGGAGTGAATGGGAGGCAATGGGAACGGGAATGGGAATGAATGGGAGGCAATGGGAATGAATGGGAGATAATGGGAATGAATGGGAGGCAATGGGAAGGGGAATGAATGGGAGGGAATGGGAGGCAATGAGAGGCAATGGGAACGGGAATGGGAATGAATGGGAGGCAATGGGAATGAATGGGAGGCAATGGGAATGAATGGGAGGCAATGGGAACGGGAATGAGAATGGGAGGCAATGGGAACGGGAATGGGAATGAATGGGAGTCAATGGGAGTCAATGGGAATGAATGGGAGGCAATGGGAATGAACGGGAGGCAATGGGAGGCAATGGGAATGAATGGGAGTCAATGGGCATGAATGGGTGTCAATGGGACCGGGAATGGGAATGAATGGGAGTCAATGGGAATGAATGGGACTCAATGAACGGGAGTCAATGGGAGTCAATGGGCATGAATGGGTGTCAATGGGACCAGGAATGGGAATGAATGGGAGTCAATAGGAATGAATGGGAGTCAATGGGAATGAATGGGTGTCAATGGGACCGGGAATGGGAATGAATGGGAGTCAATGGGAATGAATGGGAGTCAATGAATGGGAGTCAATGGGAATGAATGGGAGTCAATGGGAATGAATGGGAGTCAATGAGAGTCAATGGGAATGAACGGGTGTCAATGGGACTAGGAATGGGAATGAATGGGAGTCAATGGGAATGAATGGAAGTCAATGGGAATGAATGGGAGTCAATGGGACCGGGAATGGGAATGAATGGGACTCAAGGGGAACAGGAATGGGAATGAATGGGAGGCAATGGGAATGAATGGGAGTCAATGGGAGTCAATGGGAATCAGTTGGAACGGGAATGGGAGTCAATGGGAACGGGAGAGGGAGTGAATGGGAGTCAATGAGAATGAATAGGAGTCAACGGGAATGAATGGGAGTCAATGGGATCGGGAGAGGGAGTCAATGGGAGTTAATGGCAATGGGAATGGGAATGAATGGGAGTCAATGGGAACGGGAATGGGAATGAATGGGAGTCAACGGGAATGAATGGGAGTCAATGGGACCGGGAATGGGAATTAATGGGAGTCAATGGGAGTCAATGGGCATGAATGGGAGTCAATGGGACCGGGAATGGGAATGAATGGGAGTCAATGGGAATGAATGGGAGTCAATGAATGGGAGTCAATGGGAGTCAATGGGAATGAATGGGAGTCAATGAATGGGAGTCAATGGGAATGAACGGGAGTCAATGGGACTGGGAATGGTGGGGAACGAACGGCAATGGGGGGGGAACAGAGGGCAATGGGGGGGTCAATGGGGGTCAATGGGGTGGTGACAACGTGTGGGGGGGGGGGTAACGTGGGGGGTTGGGGGGGGTTGTCCTCACCTTCACCTGCTCCTCCTTGCGCTCCCACCATGCGTCGAAGGCGCGGAAGGCCACGTTCTCCACCATCTTCCGGTTGAGGTCCCGCTGCATGGTGGCCTTCATCTCCTGCACGAGCGCCGCCAGCACGCCCTCCACCGGCCCCGCGGCGCCCCCTAGCGGCGCGGAGGTCTCCTGCAGCGGCGGCGGCGGCGGTGGCAGCGGTGGGGGGGGTGGCGGGGGGGGCAGCAGCAGCAACGGGGGGGGGGGTGGTGGGGGGGGAGGAGGAGGAGGATGAGGATGAAGGAGGTGGGGGGGCAAAGGGAGGAGAGGGGGGGGTGGGTCGGTGCCTGGGGGTCGCTCCTCGGTGCCCGGAGGGGGGGGTGGAGGGGGGTGGGGGTGGGGGTAATGGGGGGAAAAGGGGGATGGGGGGAAATGAGGGTGGAAATGGGGGGGGAAAAGGGGGGGGGTGGCCCCCCCTGCTCCTCCCGACGTGGCCGTGCCCCCCCCAGCCCGTAAGCGGCTCAACAGCTGGGTCTGCAGCTGGAAGGATGAGGATCCACCACCCCCACCACCCCCTCCCCCACCCCCACCACCACCACCCCCCCCCCAGCGGTTGGGGCCCCCCCCCAAGCGCCCCAAAAGCTCGAAGAGGGAGGGGTGGGAAAGGGGGGGGCCGCTCCCCCCTCCCCCTCCTCCACCTCCTCCTCCTCCTCCTGCTCCTCCTCCTCCTCCTCCTCCTCCTCCTCCTCCACCCCCACCCCCCCCAGCCCCCCCCCCGAAGTCGGGCATGGGGCGGGCTTGTGGGGGGGCAGGGCCAGGAGGAGGAGGAGGGGGGGGAGGCGGCAAGGGCACGGCCATGAGGGGTTGGGGGGGGGCGGGGGGGAAAGGGGAAAGGGAAGGGGGGGGAGGAGGCTCCGGGGGGCGGGGGAAAGGGTGGGGGGGGGGAGGGGGGGGGTCGCTAGGGGGGGGAGGAGGGGGGGGGTCGTCGCCATCGTCCTCGGAGATTTCCATGTCCTCCCCTGAGGAGGCCTGTGGGGGGAGGGGAGGGGGGGGGGGGAGGAGAGAGGGGTTGGGGACCCCCCCATTGACAACAACAGCACCCATAGACCCCCCCATTGACACCCATAGACCCCCCATGGACCCCCCCCATAGACCCCCCCATTGACACCCATAGACCCCCCATTCACACCAACAGCACCCATAGACCCCCCCCATTGACACCCATAGACCCCCCCATTGACACCCATAGACCCCCCCCATTGACACCCCCAGACCCTCCCATTGACACCCATAGACCCCCCATTCACACCACCAGCACCCACAGACCCCCCCATTGACACCCACAGACCCCCCCACTGACACCAACAGCACCCATAGACCCCCCCATTGACACCAACAGCACCCATAGACTCCCCTCATTGACACCCA